AATTCAAATAGTAATTCTAAAGAGTTAGAATTAATTGACAAATCTAATTTGATTAGATGTCAATTAAAGGAATATATTAAATTAATCAATTGGATTAATTAATTGGATTTTAGATATTAATTTAGTAATTAATGAAATTACTAATTAATAGTTGGAATTTAAAATTGGATTTTAAATTTCAAATCCAAATAATAATATGATTATTAAATAAGGAAATTGGAAGAAAAGATTAAAATAATAAAGTCTTGAAAAATGTTTTCAAGAATTATTATTTTATTATTTTATCTTTAATATGATTAAAGATTCAAATAATTGAGAGACAAAATAATGGTAGTTGATGATGGTTATAAACCACTCCATATTATTTATTACAAGTCAATATTTGGTATGAATTTTTAAATAAAATCTGATTTTATTTAAAAATAATTAATTATCAAATATTGATTATTTTATGCTAAAATGTTTAGTATAAATAGGTGCAAAATGTTTGCACAAAATTTGCTAAGTCTTGAGCAAGATTTCTTCCAAGAGAAAATACATTCAAAGAGTTGAGTGATATATCAAGAAAGAGTTCTTAAAAATTTCCTTATAAATATACTAGAAACTTTCCGGCTGTGCTCAGCACAGCCGGCCCGTACGGTTTATAATTTTTTTTTTGGTAATATTGGAAAAAGTTACTTATTTTGTGTAAATTTTTTAATAGGTTTTGGTTAGAATGTTTGATATTATTTATTTATTATATTTTGTTTTTTTATTTTTTTTTTTATGTTTACTTTTGTGAGTCTAGTGTGATTTGTGAGTTTTTGACATTATGATGTATGTTCTGTCTGTCTCTTGTCGTTAGGTAGAATTGTCTTCTAATTTGGTGTTATGTGATCGTTTATGTGAACCTTTTATTGTTGTGTCGTGAAATTTTTTTGTTTTCCATGATTTTTTTATTATTAATTCTTTTGTTTACTTATTATTTTCTATAATGATATCTACATTTTTTAGGTCAATAGTGCGTGTAAGAATTACAAATTCATGTGAAAGTTTCATTGAAGTTGAAATTGGTGAAGACCATTGAAAAGTGTTGACGCAAGTTGTATGTGGTAGAGAATTTGTTAATAGAAGTGGAATTGTTAAAGGCTTAGCGTGTACGTTTAATTTGTGTTCTTGCTATTTTCTTTCATTTTTGTCACTGGAGCGTGCTGGATCGCTTTATATCATTACGGACAATTGTTGGATCGCTTTATATTGTTAGAGACAATTGTTTTGTAATACAGTATTATCTGAAAGTTTTATATTATCTTTTGTAGTGCACATTATTATTATTTATATAATCAATAATATGAAAAGTATAACATTAGAAATTGAACAGCGTTCATTTTTTTTTTTTAAAAAAAAAATTAGATAGTAAAGATAAGGGAAAAAAATATTAGAATACTAAAATAGGTGTAGATAAATGGTTCATTTGTTTTGTGATGGGTAGGACAATATCTATAAATGTGGTTTATAAATTGTATTGTAAATGTTGGAACACATCATAAGAAGCAATGTTGATTATATTAAGTGTGAGCAATGTAAAATATGAGATATACGTTTGTTATGCAATAGTTGAATGTATTGATGGCTGTTTTTTTGTTACAGACAACATCATAAGTTTGAATGTAAGGCAAGAGCTTAAGTATATATGTACGAACATGTTGCAGCAATTGATATTCATTATGCTACCCAACAAAAACACCAGATATTATACAAAAGTTTATCCTGCAATGTTTGTGCAGTTCTTAATTGCAATCAACAGTATTCTCAAAACGAACATTAATATCTTCTAAGTTAAAACGAATATCCAAACTTAGAAAATATTAATATGCAAGGTCATAGTGTCTTTTTGCACACCACTATATATACAAAAAGCTTGCCTGGGAAGAAAACAGATGACATATCAGATTTTAGGCATTGAAAATTATCCCAACTTGTAGGTTTCAGGACAAAAGGAGTCTGAATTTTGAACTGCACGTCATGCATCTTTTTTTTGCTTTTTACTGGGAGTTTCAGCTGTCGGGTTTTCTGTGGTTTGATCACCTAGAACTTTTGCTGCAGTACTTGCATCACTTGATTCGACTTCAAAGTTGATTGATCTTTTGACTCCTGTTCTTTTATCTTTTTGAGGCGCAGTTGGTGATGGGGTATCAAGCAGAGATGTGAGGAGTTTGTGTGCCGTTGGGGTTAATTGTTCTTCACAGCCACCTGTTAACGTATACGTAAAATTAATGTATGGATTGTAATTCGAAAAAATGATTGGCATGATCAGCGCGTAAAAATGTGTCAATTAAGCGTAAATTATTGTATGGTTATATTATGCTAAACCTGTTTTCCCAGGGTGTGTGAATGGCCAGAATTGTCTGTTTCTTCCATAGGCATTATATGTTCAATGTTCTCTTCATTGATATAAACAACAACAACAGCATAACCTGACTCATCATTGCCCTGGTAGTCTGGAATGTAGTGTCTTATGAAACAAGTGATTTGTTTTTCTTCGAAGTTTGCTTTAACCACCATGGCATTTTCAATCTGCAAGTTGTAAATGAAAATAACACATTGTGTAGAGCAGGTTGGTTTATTAATTTACTCTAGATTGCATTTATTTGGTTGCAGGAGCAATATATGAATCATGACATTAAGTGTCTTGGGAATGAACTTAAGTTAAATAAGGAAGAAATATAGATTTTTTACTTGGTTTTTGTTCAAGCTCATTTGGGCTGCTGTTAGTGGAAGTAATTGTTCTGCCTCTGGACCACTAATGACAGCTTGTATAAGCCCACTGTTATCTTCAATTCCCAAAGTGAACCTACACCTGTAATTGGTGTTGTAATGATAGTGTAAATAATATTAAGAACTTCACATTAGGTACTTGATTGTATGGTTTCATACCGAGGTTCAACTGGTCCTTCTATGTTGCAATGAATGCATGTGACTGTCCATCCAATTTGAGCCTTTAGACTTTTCTTACAATTTTGACAAGCAGTGAACCAGTAAGATGTTTGCCCATGCGTAAGAACTGCCTTTCCTCGAACCCAGGCGGTTTTCAACTAAATACATTGAATATAATTTATTTTATCTTGAATGTAAAAACTGTATTGTGAAAAATAATGTAAGAAAATTTATGACATACAATGTGCAAATTCTTCAGGGCAGATTGTACAGACAAAATCTCGGATTCATTTGGCGGCGGCAAGAGAAATTCCGGGTCTGTATAGGCTTTTTGTTCCAGTAGATGGGCAACTTCTTCTTTATGTTCAAGGTACCTATAAATTTAATTGTATATGGCTGTAATATATAATGTAGGGCAGCCAATTAATGTAAGAAGAAATGCAATATTTTTTACCACTGTTTTAGAGCAGCAGCTTCTGCCATGGGAGGATTAATCATTATGTTGCTGCCGTAAGTTGTTGTCAACGACAGAACTGTATATAAAAATTTTAAAAGAACAAATAAAAAAAATTCGAAATTTCTATTTGCATAATGCTGAGCACTGGTGGTAAGGCAATATAAGTAAGTGAGGTAACACTTACGATTAAAAGTTGTTACTCTGACTCTCATTGCAATGACAATATTCCCAGTAGGAACTGTATTTGCTAACTGTTCACCCTCTTGATGTGCGTACTCATTCCACAATGTTAAAATCATAGGTTTATTCCTATTCAAATTCATGAGGTTAAATCAAATGAAATGAATGTTGTTAATTAATTAATGTAGAATATAAACGTTATAAAATATATTCACTTACTCGGCATTGACGATAACCAAATTTTTGGTGTTTGGCTTTGATGACAGGTCTTTTGGCGACAATGCGTGCACAACAATACCCATAACATCTGCACAACACAAAGTAAATTTTATTACTGCCTGTAAACTTTTGAGTAAATAATTTTTCTTTTTCAAAAATATGTTAATTCGCACAAAAGTATTAATAATTTTAGTGTGATTTTGCCCCCTTTTTTTTCCTTCTTATTTGTTTTTTTGGTTCTTTTTTTCGCTTGAGGGGTTTTTTTTTTAAAAGAGATTTGAGTAGTACTTTGTGGATGATTTGTTTCTGCAAACATGCGCAACTTAGCATATTCCTGGAGTTCTATTTGCATGGTAGCTGAGGCGGTAATTTCTCCGGAAATGGCTCAACCAATGTGCCTTTTTGGATAGTCCATGTGTAAGCATAATCACTGATCTGAAATTGTGGATTTGCTGGTTGCACTCTCGCTCCTGATATATAGTACCGTTTGTACTGAATGATGCGTTTATCCCAGAAGTCGACTTGAGATCCATAAACAGTTGAACCAACAATTGTTCCCTACATAAGTTATAAGCAAATTGAATTTTTTGGTATATTGGTATTTAAATGAACTTAGTATAGAATCTGTATAAAAGAATATATGTATCTGTAATTAAATGAGATAAATAGTTTGTGGGAAATGACGACAATATTATAATCAATGTACCTGTGAATCAGTGAGGACATATCTTCGATAAGGCACTCTTTTTCCTGTACGGCCAATTTCAACATGCCCTTTTTCAACTACTTGAACAATTGTTGTCCAGCCTTCAGTGTTAACATCAACTTCATTAATGTGAAGGTACTTGCGCGACATCTTGTCAGACCTTCACAACCACCCATTGAGGTACTGGAGAAAAGAAAGAAATTTTAAAACACAGAAACTAAAAAACAGAAGTAAAATTAAATAACTGTAAGCAAAAAAACGCAAGTGATAGATATATTGATAGGGACGAAGAAAAAAGGAGGAAACTGAATAATGGAATAATAACATAGTTAAATAGCATAATCAGTGTAGTTAGAAAAAAAATAAACAAGAGTAACTGTGAAAAATATTATGCAAAGTTACTGTTTTGATGCCTCCAAAATTTCTTTATAAACAATGTTTTTTGTATGTCTAACTTTTTTTTTTATCAAAATAAGGTTGTTTCATAAGAATGGTAACATTAGAAGAATATCTAGCTCGTGATAAAGCTACATATAGTTGTCCATGCGAGAAAACAGGTTCTTTTAAATAAATGCCTACATAATCTAAAGTCTGTCCTTGTGCTTTGTTAATTGTCATTGCAAATGATAACCTTACAGGAAATTGTACTCTAACATAGGGCACTGGATATTGCTGATCACTTGGTGGTTCTAACGGTATTCTATGTATAAACACTTCTTTGCCGGCAAAGTCGCCCACAATTATTTGTGCATGTATAATATTTCTAGTTAAATTTTTGCATCTTAACCTTGTTCCATTACAAAGGCCTTCTGTTGGATCTAAGTTGCGCAACAATACTATCGGACAATTCTTTTTTAACAGCAACTTATGAGGCAGCATACCACTTGGTGTTAATGAATTGATAATATCTTCATATTGACCTCTATGAGCCGGATTTTTAATTTCATCAAAGCTAAAGTATTCTACTGCATCACCTAGAAATCTATTTATCAGTATATCGTTGACTTCATCGACAAAAGTGTTTCTCGTGCTCAGGATAGCTCGATTGATTGGAAGATTTTCAGTATTTTGGTGGCATAAGTCTGGATAAACAATATTAATTAACTTATTTATATCATCAACATCGTTCATACATATTGTATTAATAAATGCAGGTATTCGAATTAAATTATTTGAATCTATTGGTTCAAGTCCATTTCCAACATTTAACAAATAGTTTGAAAATACAGGATCTAATTTAGCGCGCATGTTTTCTGTCAACTCTATCTTCTGTAGACACGGCCAAAGTGGTGAATTAACTAAACAAGCATTCATTGTTTCAGTTTTATTTCCCCGTCGTACAACCGGTAACACTTGTCTAAAATCACCTCCAAACACTACTACTTTCCCTCCAAAGATTTCATTGGAATCTAACAAATCTTTTAGCAATTTGTCTAGTGATTCTATTGCTGATCTTTTAGCCATGGGTGCCTCGTCCCATATAATTATTTTGCATTCTTTAAGTAATAATGCAAGACTACTCTGTTTACTTATCTTACAGTTTTCTCCTGTAGACATATCTAAGGGTATCTTAAATCGTGAGTGTGCTGTTCTACCACCAGGTAAAATAGAAGCTGCAATACTAGAGGTAGCTGTAGCTAAAGCTATATATCCTTTTGATCTAATGTCTGCTAATAAAGCTCTATAAAGAAATGATTTACCCGTTCCACCAGGACCATCAATGAAAAATGCACCACTCTCATTATTATAGACACGAGTAGTAATTTGACGGAACGCATATTTTTGTCTATCATTCAATAAATGAATTGCATTTAAGTCTTCTTCTAAGACTTTAATATTTTTCTCTGCAGCTAATTCTCTAGTTAAATGTGCAGAATCTAATTGAGGGATATCATCTGTTACAAGATCAAATGAAGTAATTGATTTTCCCATTGACTCTAAAAAGGATGCAATCTGACCTAGAACTCTAGCCTTTATTTCACTTGATGTGAGTGATGTATCTCTTTTAAAATCTTCAGACATATGTGATTCAAATTTTAGCCATAGATCTCTAGGACTATTTGGGCAGGAATAGACCAAAATATTAGCAAAGAGTCTACGAAGCTCATATGGCATTTTAAATTGTACAGCTTCTTCTAAACACAGATATTGACTGTCATCATTTTTTAACAGACCTCTAATTAACGCAGCTTCGCGAAATGTTTTGGCGACAACGCCATTATATGTCTTTAAATCATCAAACGATTTTGGACAACGTACTTTCAACATAAGTAATCTTAGATAATAACGTTCACCTTCAGAAGGATGCGCAGCCACTATTCTACCAACTGATTCTTGCCTCTCTCGTAGTTTCCATCTCTTTTCATTTGCAATCCAAACAAAATATTTAGGAAATTCAGCGTAAGTTAAATTTAGTTTCTGGGCATCCTCATTAGTTCTGTTCATATAGAGAATTGTGTTAACATTGTCCTATCATTTAAAGGATTTCTTACAATATTTCTTAGTTTATCTTTTCTCTTAAAATGTATTCTTTGATAATTTGGTAGATGACACTGAAGATGTATTACTGCAGGCTTTATATCCCCCATTGAAAATCTAAAAATTCTCCAAGCAGCTTCAGGAGGAGAAACCCATCTAGCAGCTGTGTATTGTTTAATTTCATCAATACTTTCATCTGGTTTGTCTGAAGAAAGGTGAAAATTTATCATATCATGACCTTTACATATGTATTTATAAATATATTTGACTGCATGTATAGTAGAGCAAATCTCGACATTTATATGACAGTTATACTTAGCTAACAAATATGGATTGTAAGGTACAACCCATCTATTATCTAGCTCTTGACCTCTAACTTTAACTTTCACATTATTTTCTCTCCTACGATACTGTGGAAAAGCACCTGAAACTTGATTTGTTTCTTCAGAAAAGCATTTAGGGTATGCAAACCTACACTTACCTTTTTTTGTCATGCATGAATTGTTTAAATTCAAAGTCCCGCAAGGTCCGTGCAACATATGTTTCTTAACCATGGCGTATAAATGAGGATGAGAAAGTTTATCCGGGATTTCAGCACACACAATTCTATCAAATTCTTCATTTCTGTAAAGCTTGAATTGTGGATGTAAAATTATTAGGAAATGTGCATGGGGTAAAACTCTTTTTTGAAATTCAATAACATATGTGTATGCAGCAACCTCACCAAAAATATTTTTTTTAAATAAATCATCTTTTAACTTTGTTAACTTAGCATTAAAAGCTCTAGCAACTAAATCTGGTCTATTTTGAATCTCTTCAGAACGCAACAAAAGATTTTTTATTTCTGGCCAGTTAGGATTACAAGTTATGGTAAGGAAAATGTCAGGTTTACCAAATTTTTGCACTAAAGTCACCGCATCAATATAACGTCTTTTCATATTTCGAGGACCTCCAATAAAACTTGCTGGTAAAAAAACTCTCTGACCTATTTTGGAACCTTCAGTTTCACCTGAAGCTAATGCATCTTGTATTCCTTGTAAATATTCATTTCTAATCTCTTGTTGTTGAAGTCTCAAATAATCTAGACGTTGCGACTCTAACTTAATATACATATCAACTATATATTGCTGGAAGAGGCGACCAGATCTGAGGAGAAAAGACCGATCACTTTCTCTTATTTGCAATTTATATGAATAATATGCTCTAACAGACACAAAGCTCACGTCATCGGGCGAAACAGACCGAGCTTGTGAAAGATTTATGCGAAAAACACGAAAAGGAAAATATTAGGTGCAGAAGTAGAAAAACACGAGCCCAGCAAAAAAAAAATGATAGAAAAATAAATGGGAAATAAAAATGTGCAGACTATTTATCAGAATTAAATTCAGCAGTGAATATATAATACTTACCAGCAAATTCTGCGCCTAACATTTCATTTAAGTCCATTGCTAAATTAGGATCAACATCTATAACTGAAGCCTGTTTATTATCAGTACACACTGTACTTTTTTTTTTAACACCTTGGTGCCAACCAACTTCTCCCAATGGAAAAAGCAAAGGGTATTGCAAAGGGTCATAACAACCATAATAATAACTTATATTGTAAGAGTGACCTCCATGTGAATGCACAACTATGTTTCTTTCACTTGTTTGGCCATTATCCTCATCCTCAACCCATAATGCAGCTACTTGTGAAACTTCTGGTTGATTAAAGACTCTTTGATCAACATCAGGTAATGTTTTTAGTATAATTTGACAATCACCCAAATTAGGCACATCCTTAAGTCTTTTGAAAAATTTAACATACGGATTGTGCTGAAGAACTGCAAGTATTTTTGTAATCAATGATTCAGTTAACCGAGGACATGCTTCCAGCCTTTTTGAAATTTCAGTATCAGTGTCAT